AAACTGCAATGCTTGTGGTACTGTTAATGACAAGTATGCTTTTGTGGGAGAAGGGACATAGTAATCTAATGTTAAGCACACTGGACTGCAGATCAAGAGGTCTGGGTTTGAGCTAATGGTTAGGGTCTCTGTGTTGTGTTCTAGGGCAAGACACTTTACTCTCACACTACCTCTTTCCAAATAGGTGAGCAATGGGGTACTGGGTAATTTAATACTGGGCGTTAACCCAGCGACAGACTAGCATCCCATCCCTTCATTGTCAAACCTTACCCCTGTAGGGTTTAAACTGTTAAAAATCTATAATTTTTTTTAATTGTGTAGTTCTGTTAAACAGGCAGACTCACATCCCATCCATGGGGTAGTACGGCTACTTAATATCACTTAATGCACCACAGACTGGGTTACCGTTAAGCTGTGGTGATTTAGATCACTTGGCCTGATGCAGACTTTACCTTACTTTCATACTGAAAACTTGCCCTTGAAGGATTAAAACTTTAAAAATCTGATGACTTATTTTAATTGGGATCATGTGTACTAAACGCATCCACAGTGAGTGACGATCGATATCCTCGATCAACACTCCATCTACACCTCGGTTGACGCTCGATCAACACCTCAGTTGACACTCGGTCGACAGTCTGTGGACACTCCATCAACAATTGGTTGACAGTCAACTAATTTTCGATTAATACATATGTGCCGGTCAACACACGACCGAATATTGACCGACTGTTGATCAAGTGTTGACCTAGTATCGATCGGGATGTTGATCGAGTACCAATCAAGATATCGATCGAGGGTATCGAATGACAGTTGATTGCGAATGCCATTAGTACACATGATCCTTTAATTGTGTAGTTTGAAAAACATAAGAGATCAAGGCAGTCATAAAGGTTAAAAACAGTTGTCATTTCTTACTACTAGATACAAACAGAAAGCTGTGTGTTGAGACTTTTGCGGACAGAGATCCATATTGAGGCAATAGTTTCCATATCAGGTGAGTCTTTGCATTCCTTTGTGTTTGGTTGGAGATGTTATCAGTTACTTAATTTTACATGTAGCATTAGGAATCATAATTGGCATTAATGCTGGCAGAAAATTAAAAGAAATAGAGATGATGTTTCACAGTTCAGCTATTGCACTGCATTGTGTTCATGTTACTCTCACTGTGCCTCCCTCCACCCAGATATGCAAATGGCTACTGGGTGAATTTCATAACCCTACAACAGACTGACATCCCATTTAGGGGGAGGTGGGAGGTCAGGGGAGTGGAAAGACACCTCATCAATTGATGCTACAGAAACAGGGATAAGGTGTGGCACTAGTTTGGATCACTTGGCCTGATGAAGACTTAACCTTACCTTCCTCATCGAAACTCCCCAAAGTAGAGTTGAAAGTTTAAAGATCTGATGACTTATTCTTAATTGAGTAGTTTGTAAAACTTGAGAGGTCAAGGAATTCCATGAAGGTAAACATCTGCAGTTTCTTACTAGATACAAAACAGAGAAGCAAGAAAAAGAGCTATGTGCTGAGACTCAGAGGAGAAAGAATCAAACTGAGACATTGGATCCAATAGTAGGTCAGTCACAATTTTATTTATGTTTGGTATCGTGTACAAGGAATCATTTTGCTCAATGCAGACAAAATTAAAACGAATAGAGATTTTATTGTTTCACTAATGTTCAACTATTTCAACATACCGTTGTTATGTGGCCGTACATAGACATTTGGAGGTAGGGTGTACAAAAATTCCTTAAGAATTCCTGGGGTACTATTGTTGAGGAGTATTGTTTTGTGGCAGGAGGGGCCCTGTGTTCAAATGGTTAGTGTACTGGACTGCACATCAAGCAGTCTGGGTTTGAGCCAATGGTTAGGGTCTGTGTGCTATTTTCTTGGGAAAGACTCTTTGCTCTCATTTTACGTTTGAAAATGGGTACTGGGTGAATTTAATACCGGTTGCTAACCCTGTGACAGACTAGCATCCCAGGCGGAACAGAAATATGCCTTATCATTTAATACAACAGAGACCTGGATAAGCTATGGTGGTTTGGATCTCTTGGCGTAATGCAGTCGAAACTTTCGAATTCCCCTCTAGGGTCGAAATGGAAAATATCTGATGGTTTAGTTTTAGTTGTGTAGTTTTTGAAATTAAGAGACGAAGGATGTCATAAAGGTTAACATATTTTCTGGTTCTTACCACTGCAGATACAAAACAGAAGAAACAATAAAAGCTGTGCTGAGACTCAAGAGGAAAAAAGATCAAATTATGGCATTGGATACCCTATCAGGTGAGTAACAAATCAATTTTCTTTTAAAAGGAAGGGTTTTTAATCACTCCAGGCCGGGAATAATTTATTGCCACGACTTTTTCGGATTTCCACCGTCGTGTGAATTTCCCTCTGGGATTTCAGATACCACTGGGAAATGTTCTTGAAATAGCTGTTAAAATAAAAGTCGTTTTCAGTCGTAGTTTTGTAAAAGCCGTCTTGTCAAAACTAGCTGTAGCTGTCAGGTTGTCAGATCAAAGGTGAACAAGGGAAACCATAGTAGCCTGTAAATTACTGTAAAATCTCTTGTAATTCGCTAATTGTCTTGCACGTACCTCGTCGAAAACGGTTTTTGCTTGTTTGCATAAGTATTCCATTTGAACAACAATTTTAATTTTAAAGAAACTTTGTCTTGTTACTCGCTTGTGTAACAATTCAATTTTTGTTTGTATTTGGTCATAGGCTTTATTCTAATACTTTACAAATGTGAAGCTACCCGAGAGCTTTTTTATGTTAAGAACATTTCAAGAGTTACTTGAAGATTGGCGACCATTAGCCACATATAAATTCATCCTCAAGAAGAAAATGCCAATATTGAAACATCTCATTTAGTCGCGAACGTTTTAGTGTGCTATTTTGCCATTGAGCTTTTCGTCTGCAAACAATGCAAATCAAGGCGAATTTAGAGTGCTATATTTTGGCCGTTGCCATTTTATTTCCTGTTGCTGCTTGTCCGCGTTTTAAGTTGTTTGTAATATCATTGTGTAAACTCCGTGAATTTCTAGGTGATGATATAACCAAACGACAAGCGCATTCCCGATGAGAGAATTAATTTGTTGACTTTAGTCAAGTATACACTATGTATATTTTGTTCTTTAGGTTTCAGTTTACCCATTGTTAATTGGACATTTTATTTATCATTCTTTCAGGTTGCCATCTCAAGTGTACATGCAGCGGCATTAGCATGGAAAGAAGCAAAGGAAAGCAAAGAACTTTGCTTGGATGTTTCTTTAGTGGATCACGTTTTAAAAGTAAGGTAGATTTACAGGACGAATTTTTTCTCGCCGGCGATCGAGTTTCTTGCGAAAAATTGATAAGATTGATTTCACAACACAAAAGAAGAGATTAGAATTAATGTCGAATTGACTAGTATCTACCAAATTGTCTCGTATCTTGCTAGTTTTTGAAGAAGCCGTGAACTGTATTTCAAGTTTGTAGCAAAGGTAGAATATTAGCATTACCTGGATTTGTTTTTGTAACCCGAATTTTCAGCCCGACAGTTTCATTATTAAACTTGTTGAAATTACTGTCTAATTGTCTAGTATCTATTTCGCAAATTTACTGAAATCTTTCTAGTTTTCGAGGACGCATTGAATTGATGAAAGGGTTGCGCCTTTAAAAGGGCCAAGAAAAAAATCGAAAAGTGGAAAAGTTGTCCTTAGGGAAAAAAGTCTGCAATTTTAAATGGTGTCTGGTTTTGAGTCAAACATGTACAGAGTCTTTTGGCGGAAAATACTCTTGCACTATGTAGGATTTTTTCCATTAAAAGTCACAGTATATGCTTGATTTCTAGCTAGACTCTGTTAAAAACCGCAGAATTTTTTTTCTTTTTGGCAACCCTACATAGTCAAAAAATAGTAAAAGAGATAGCCTACATTTTGACTAGTTACCAGGCCCTTTTAAAAGCGCGATTTTTTTTTATTTTGTTTTCTTATTTAAACTGTTTGTAATGAATTATTTAAAACCCAATAAAAGTTACATTGAAGACGCGTGTGTATTGACTTCATTTGCTGTAGCATTTTTATTGTCTTTAATATTTGTTAACAATGCTAAGATAATGTACACAGTAGAAACCACCACCACTTGCTGTTTTCATTCAGTGTAGTTTTATTGTTTTGCAATAATTAATTAATTGAAAATCAGTTAAATAACTTAAAACGTGTGAAGGAAAAAGTTCGCGTTTAAAAACTAAGACTTTTGGCGGGAAAATTTAAAAAATTTGCACAGCGTTTCCCCTTACAATTTTTATTGAAAAAAAATTTAAAGAGGTTACCCTTCAGAAATTTTTGATCAAAAAAAATTCTCAAAGGCAACAGTTGACATCAAATCCCGTCAAAAACTAATGCATAACTCGCATTGAAAAAGCAATTTTGATATTTTAGATTAGATAGTGTTTCCCGTCTCGAAATAAATTTTTGCCAAACAGCCTTAAAATTTCATTTTTTAACAAACTTCGCGATGGTTTTTGTGCGAGGTATTGCAAGAGTTTCTCGAGACATGAAAAAGATGAAATGACAAATGAATCAAACAGGTTTTATTCCGAAATGGGTTGTTAAATCTCGCAGTGACCGTGAAATGCCGTTTGAACTGAGTTTGATTTTCAACTGTTTGTCGCTTGTCATTTCATATCTTTCTCTGTCAGACGATCATATAGATGGTACACTTCGGATCAGTTGCACAGGAGCAAGAACACTTATCAATCAAAATCCGATCATTGTCCGCCCGCAAAATTGCCAAATTTCGGTGGGTTATAACCCATTTAAGTTTCGAAACAAGTTAATTTTCTCTTCCGATGCGACCGCCGCTCCTTGGTCTTTTCCTGTGCAACAACCAAAGTGTAAACACCACAAAATAATCAATATCTGGTATTACAAAGATGTTTATTCCTAAAATAACGCAAAATTTATTCGGCCAGTTCAATCAAAACAATGTCGGAATAATCTGCCGTGAATATTTAACTCCCTTGCTGCAAGGTTTTGGAAAATATTTTACTCTGTTTTGAGCAAAGCTTATCAAAGAAAAAAACTTATGTACTTCTTTTGACTGTCCAGAAATTTAAACGTTAGAAATGACAAAGAAAAGCAAACATGTTTAGCAAAGGCGCCACGAAAACTTTGTATCACAAGGCACGCTTTTTAATACCAGTTCATATGCAAAAATCATCGTTAAAATAAAAATTGTCGCTGGTCTTTTTAGTTTTCGTCATGATTGTAACAAAGTTGTTACCAGCCTTTTACAGTAAATCTTGAAAAACAATCAGTTCAATAGCTAATTTTAAATGTTTATTGTGTAGTAGTTGCATGCGAAAGGTTCTCTTTTTGGAGGTCATTGCTAAACAATTGTTGAAGAACAAAAGATGGCAGAATCAAATTTGATTTGCAAATGTTAAAGCATTTATAGAAACAAAGTTTGTGTATTCAGTTGCTCTCCGCAAAACTGAACTCTTTCGTAATTTAAAGCTGAAAATATCAACTCGATTGCCTTACTTGGTCTTAACCGTAGTTTTGAGAATTTGGTAGCACATCAAGACAACATCTTTTTGTCGATGATTTTGTTTATCACTGTCGCTATACTTCTCTGCTTTCTCCTTTTCACAACACCTTTTACAGACCAGATATTGATTTTGAAAGCCTAAACTTTATATATCTAAAGGTTAAACAAACGTTGATCTGTCTTTAAGGTGGCACTTTCAAAATTTGAGAGTTTTGTAGTATGTCCAAGAACCTGAAGATAATTTCAATTTATTTTAAAGTAGCTGTGACACAACAATTGCAAGAAAAGCTTCGATTTATAGCGAAAGATGATTATCTCAGTAATCACATGATTCTGAATGCAGTTTGCAATTTCTTAGAAATTTCCCTTTAGCCTACCGAACCCTTAAGTGTTCCAAAAACTTTCGTTACCTTTGGGAAATATTCGGAAGTCTTCGGAAATCCTCGATTGATCTCCGAAATTCTATCGTTGGCGATTTTCTGAATACCTCGGATGGCCGTCGGCAGCCCTTTGGAATCTTCGTATTTGTTTACAAATCTTTGTTGTAATTTGCAATCAACGTTTTTGGCCAGAGTCGATATTTGCTTTCAAGTGTGTTTCAGGTTTTTGAACATGTGTACAAAAAATTTCATAATACAATTGTTTGTTAACGTGATTAATTCAGATGAAAGTCCGTACTCTTTCAATAATGATTTTCATTGTCGGGGCATTTTTCTGCCTTATTACATTACGAGTCTGAGGCTTAACACGATGAATATTTTATGTTTGGAGGTAATTTTAATAGTAGCAAGACAATTTGCATTTGTTACAGAATAATTTCCTTTGTTCCCCAAAATATATAAATATATTTTTTTCTGTATATAGTCCTATTAATATCCTTGTACATAAAAAAAAAAAACACTGAATATAACTTTGAGATCAGTTTTATTTGATCTCAAGAGAGTAAAAACTTTGCGCGATAATTTTAATTCTGGCAAACAAATTTATTAGTTGAGAGTGAATTTCGTTGTTGCCAAATTTATTTTTTCGTTGTCGTACAGGCCATTTCCTTTTGCCTAAAAAACCCAGCAATGTTTCAGTGCTTCGTCGATTCCGCGATAAAACGTACGCGTTTTGATCACAAAAATTTAGATGGTGATGTCAAATATAGTGCCACCGTAAAAACTCAACGTTGTTTATCCACTTAAAATATTCCCTGAAATCATGTCGACCAAAATGCTGGCTACCAGGATCGAGATCTCAGATTAATTACTGCTGAAGGTTAGTTATTGAAATATATATATCAATCGTTCGAAACAAATAAATACCTCCACTTTTTCTACTAGGAAAAATCTCGACAACTAATCCTTACAAGGTCTTACAACGTAAGCTTCAAATGTGTATTGCCACCATTGTGATCGAAAGTTGTGAAATTAAAATTCTTATCTCGTTGCCATCTCCAATGTTGAATAACCATTTGAATTCCTCGTGAATTTCAATCTCTTCATTCGTTTGCCACCTTCGCCGTTGGGTCATTTCCTTTCCAGGACTGAAAATAAGACAGTAAGAAAACAAATAAGCTTCATCACGGGACAAATGTATTAACGACATACACTATTAGTGCCAGGGCAAGCAGCGACCAAAGCTCGTATAAACCGGCTGCATGTGGTAACGCTTTTCAACTTACCGAGACCAACACGCAACGAGAAGAACAGGAAATATCAAACAACTGTAGCGTCAGTATCTTACAAACTTACGCAAAACTTATTTCTTGACCCTTCACTGAAACTTTTCATCTCAGTGATCGCGAAAGTACGACTATCTGGTTAATGAACGACGCCGTGTTCAGCTCGGCAAAGAAAATTGCCAGCGAAGGGTGGAACTTAACTTAAGGAAGGTAAAAATTGTTCCGTTTGGTAAAGAGCAAAAAGATTAAAACGTGCACTCACCATTAATATTTCAATACCTCTATCTCGTCCTGCTTTATTTTCTTCGTAGCAAGAACCTGGCCAGGTCCGACATCACAACGAGTACATAAATTCACGTCTTCACACTATGACCATGTGTTTTGTTTGACGCAAATTCCACAAGTAGTTATGAATATTGATTACAAAGTAGAACCAATCGATGTCAAAAACGTTGCCGCATATTTTCACGACTAATATTAATTCTTATGTAAAACTATTGTATCACTTCAAAAATATCAAGTTCACTCCAGATCTTTGCATTTTTAGGCGTTATTACGACAATAATATGTAAAATTAGTACATTTGCAAAGACTGATTCACGCGGCCTTTTCTTATAATCTTATCGATCGATTAAAGATCCGATGGCCTACGAATCAAAGCTTTTAATTAGGTACAAGCTCGATATAATTAAACAAGAAAAGAACAACTTTAATTAACCGGTTTTAAAGTTTGATATTTGTATGACTTTACTACTTTTACTTATTGGCATTTAATTAAGGGCATTAACACAAAATCGAGGTAAACAAGTAATGTATGAAAGATAAGGTATTTGTACTGGGTTGATCATCGCAGTTATAAACACAACGTAAGCAGCTGTAAAATGAAAGCCTGAAAAAAATTCAGGCTTGAATTTTTTTTTCCTTTAATTTCACAGCTGCTTAAGTTATGTACATAACTGCGATGATCAGTCATGCCTTCAAAAATCGAGGTATTTCCGTTGGAAATCATGGGTTCCCTTGAGGATTCCCACCTACTCTCCCCTTGCATTTGCAACCCCGCCGGCTTTTTACCGTGCACTCCTATATAATTTTCTCTTATTTTTCTCTCTCCGTTGCTCCTCGTAATCCCTGCGCTTTCCGCCACACGCAAAATCTCCTCGCGTTATGCGCTTCACGTGTATTTGTCGAGGGCTTTCCTGTGTTCGGCTATGGCTTTCCTTGTACTTTCTTCTTCGACGAGGCGGCGAGGTCCTTGCTATGTCGCCCACACTTTTACTGTGCGTCCCCATGTCTTTGCCTATTTGTTACACTGTAGGTGTCCTCTTGCATTTCGTCATCTGTTCCCCTATGCATGCTTCGCATGCTTTCACTTGGCTTCCCTTCTATTTCCCGTGCGTTTCGTTGTACGTTGTTCCTTCGTTTCTCCATACACAACCCCAACAGGCTTACTGGTGGGGTCTGTCCCACGTTCCCTGTGCATTTACCGTGGGTACCCCTCCCCACGTGTTTCCCCGTTCGTTACGCCCTGCCCCGTGAGTTCGCTCTTACATTTCCCGTGCCTTCCCAATGTCTCTTCTTGTCTGATGCTCCGGGTTTCCCAGGGGTTCCCGATTGGGTTTCTTCCGATCCCAGTACCGTAGCCGTACATTCGCTGACCCTTGTGTCCCCTCATACAGTTACTCTCGATCCCCTATGCGTTCCCTATGCATTCAAACGCTCAAAAAGCTG